AAAGGCAGCATTCTCTGAAGGATGACACTTACAATGAAATTAGATTTTATTAAACCCAGCTCTTACAACAGAGTGGGTTTTAGTTTAGGACTCGCTATGTCCCTGAAAACACTACACAGTTTCAGAACACAACTTACAATCATTGATGTTAGAGACCTGTTGCTGCTACTGCTTGGACAGCCCCTTCGGCCGCCTTTGCAGTTGTCTCACCAGTAGGTGGCGCCCTAGGACCACTGGTTTTTAACGAACCCCAGCCATCAGGCCTGACTTCACTACTACACCCTACACCTGAAAAGGCAAACTTTAAGCAGAATTAAAGAAAAGTTCAGTCAGCTGATTAGAAAGGAAAGCAACCCTCTATAGACATAACTTCAATCCATTTATTCCGCATTCGATTGTTTATTGACTATGGTAACAACTGTGCATTTTATGTGTATTATTTACCACATTCCTGACATTTACTGAGCAGCCTAATGTCAGATTCTGTTAGAGGATCTGGTTTTTACCACTCTGTTCTGGAGTGCATTCATCTACACGTGGAATTGACTTTTGAACTTCTTGGACCACCTTCTGTGCTGTGTTGTCTGGACCTGGACTGGCTTCCTATATTGAAAAAAGAAGTCTATTTCCTGGCGATATTTTTGGAGTAAGAAAAACACCCAGGGCTGTTTGGCCTGCAGCGGGAAGATGTCCTGGGTGACCTCTTATCGCAGTTAGCCCTTCAATTATCCGCCTTCCTTTCTGTCCCGCCTCCCCCCACCACTGCCACTTGTGTTTCTTCCTGATCTTCTTCTGTCTCCTTCTTTCATGAAGGACTTTCTTAGTAACAGATTCATCTCGCCTTCTCTATCATTCCCACTATCATTTTTGTTGAAAATATATGTTTCTTCCTATGCCACAATCACCATCAGCAACTACAACAAAAAAAAAGTGAGGGGAGATTTCACCTAAAAAACGACATCTTTTTAGCTCCTAGGGGATCAAACATGTATTAAATTCCAAATTCTCTTAATGAGGCAGAAAAGGCTATGATGATTATTTTTTTGTGGTAAAATATACATAAAATAAAACTTCTAATTTTAACCATTTTTAAGTGCACAGCTCTGTACACTTACATTCATGTTGTTGTGCAACCAGCATGCATCCTCAGAACTTTTCCATCTTTGCAAACTGAAACTCTGCCCGCATTAAACACCAATTCCCCATTCATTTTTCCTCGGGCCCTGACACCCATCATTTTACTTTCTGCTTTTATGCAGTAGACTACTTTAGGTATCTCATATAAGTGGAACATACAGCATTTGTCTTTTTGTAACTGGCTTATTTCACCTAACATAATGTCTTCAAGGTTAAATTGGCATTTATTGATACATGTATCCTAGAGCTGTGCTAATGACTTGACATGTGTTGTTTCATTTAACAAATTGTGAAGTAGGACCTTGTTCCGTAGTCATTTAACAGACAGTGAAACCAAGGCTTAGGAAGGTTAGACTCATGGAGGGACTACGTGCAGGCCTGGGTTGGAGCCCGCCCTGCCTGCCTCCTCACAGCCACACAGCCTCTGAGCTCCTTCCTGAAGCCCTTCGTTCTGCTTCGGCTCAGTCCTCAGCCAATGAAGATGGTCTGGTAACAGCAAGATTATAGGGTTTCCAGCTTCCTGCTTGCCTCAGATTATGAATGTACATGCAGGAAAGCAAGCTGCCTTTCTGGCATCATATAAGAAAACACTCCTGCATAAAGCTCCATGCACAAAAAGTTAATAGCTATAGTTGAAGGGAGCAGACACATGAAATGTTTCAACTAAGAAATGGAGAAAAAATTTAACTGTCTATTTAAGAACTTTTCTCTAACCCTGGGCAGAGAGCTCAGTTGGTTAGAGCATTGTCTCTTTGCACCAAGGTTTCTGGTTTGATCCCTGGTCAGGGAACCAACAAATGAACGAATGAATGGGTGGCACAGAAAACTGGTGATTCTCTCTCTCTCTCTTTCTAAAAGAATCAATAAATAAAATATTAAAAAAGAAATATTCTCCATGTACTGCTAAAAGTCTCTTAAAAGAAAAATTATAATAAAGTCAACTATAATATTTTCAGCAATCAGAACATAAGAATCATATCTTGTATGGTTAAATACAAATTATGAGGCTAATTATATATAAGTTAACTTAAAAAAACTAGCTTTTGATATATAATTCATATAGCATACAAGTCAGCTATTTCTAGTGTATAATTCAATAACTTAGCTTTTTGCCTGGGTAAAAATTGCCTTACTCTGACCACCTTACATTACTTTGATTGCTCTGATTGGTAAGAGTCAAACAGGGTAAGCTAAGCCTCAGAGAGCTCTGTGGCACGAGCTGCCATATTAGTTCCATATGAATAATTTGGTTTTTGTCAGTGTTGTTTCTATATCCATGACTATTTAATTCCTTAATCTTAGTGTCTTAAAGGTTCATTTGTTGTAGGTTATTTGGCATTCCATTATTACATGATAGAACAAAATAAAGGAGGTTGGGAGGGGGGAAGTTAGGGGACTGGGTGAAAAGGTGAAGGGATTAAGCCAAAAAAAAAAAACAACAAACAAAAAACCCTCATAGCCCTGACTGGTTTGGCTCAGTGGATAGAGTGCTGGCCTGCAGACTGAAGGGTCCCAGGTTTGATTCTGGTCAAGGGCACATGTCCCGGTTTTGGTTTTGGGCTTGACCCCCCAGTGGGAGGTGTGCAGGAGGCAGCCAATCAATGATTACCTCTCATCATTGATGTTTCTATCTCTCCCTCTCCCTTCCTCTCTGAAATCAATAAAAAAAATTGTTTTAAAACACCCCTCATAAACACAGGATGGTGATTACTAGAGGAAAAGGTTGGTGGGGGAGGTAGAAAAGGGTAAAGGCGGGGGATGGAGATGGAAGGAGACTTGACGGGGTGGTGAACACACAATACAATATACAGATGATGGATTATAGAATTATAATTTTATTGACCAATGTCACCCCAATACATTCAATAAATTTATTTTAAATAAAAGGCGGTTAGCTTTCCAGTCTGCCCAGAAATGCAGTGACATCAGTAGACAGCCCTTCCTACCAGGTGTATCAGCATTTCCTGGAGCCCAAGCATATTCCACTTGCAAATGCAGATGTCTATCTCCTGCTGCTGCGAGGAGCTGACCAGCCCCGGGCTCCACGCCCCAGGCAGGAGTTGCTGGGAGGGTGGGGAGACCCTCAGCGTGCAGAGATAAGAGAAGGAATGGAGAGGGGCCAGGCTAAAAGGGTGGGGGCAAAAGCAATGGAGCCAGGTCCCCCTTCTTCCTCAGCTTCTGCTCCACCTTCTTTCCCAGTCACCCAGAGCCTAGAGTAAGGCTGGGGGGCCTGGACAGGCAGTAGTGTGGGCCCTAGGCAATCTTACCTTCCCTTTCCCCACAGCGTACCCTGGCATTGCAGGTGCTGCACAGGTCAGCTCTGGAATAAACCGAGGCCCAGGGCGGTGGCAGCGGCAGAAGGGGACAATATGGATACTGGGCTGTTAACTGGGTCTGAGGCAAAACCTCGGGGCAAGGAAAAGACATGTGACTCTGGAAGCAAAAGGAAAAAGAAAGAAAATTCTGAGGTTGGTCCAACAAAGAGATTGTAATAGGACATGCTGCATTAGCCAACACCTAGGTAGTGCTGTGCAGAGGAGCGCTTTAAGCGCCTTGGTATGCTTATTTACTTAACTTTGCAAAAATTCTATTAGGTAAATACTATTATGATCTTTATTTTACAGACAAAGAAACTAAGATACAGAAAAGTGCAATGACTTGCCAAATGTCAGATGGTGGGGGCAGAGAAGATCAGAACTCTCCTGGGTCTATGCTGTCCCCCCAGCCACAGTCTGGCAGCAGCAGGCGCTCTGCGGGATGCCGTGTGTTCCACGCATGATAGGATTGTGACAGGTAGTGTTAATATTCTATAGCTTCCTTCACACTGAAGGCAAGATCGGTAAATGTGGTACTTCTGGCACCAAATTTTCCCCTTTGCAAAACAAATATCATCAGTTTCTTTTCAAGGGATGCGGTCTCTGTCCATTCTTCAGTCATGGCTTTGGCCCAGGTAGTCAGGGTGAGTCCTGGCCTGGGACACATCTACAGAGTTAGGACAAAATCTGTAGCTGCTGACAGATTGTCACAGACCACTGTAGAGGCAGGATACTACTGTCACCTGCACCTTACAGGCCACAGGGACAAATGTGATTTATTGTTAACATGGTTGCTCTCTCTTTGAATTTGATTCAGATGGCAGCAAATGTGTAGCAGGATTGAGCCTGCAACCAAGGTACATGCCCTTGACCGGAATGGAACCTGCGACCCTTCAGTCTGCGGGCCGATGCTCCAACCACAGTGCCAAACTGGCTAGGCTGAGTTTTAATTCTAACAGAAAATTGCAATATCTTTATTTTTAAAATCTGACTTCTCCTTTTCTTTGACTTCATCTTCCACAGTATTTTTGTTTTCAGTATCTGTGAAAGATATGAGGGTGAAAACTAATCTATGTGGTTATTTGGTCAACTGAGTCACCCCCCAGGATTCATTGGCAGCCCGCCGCAGGCACGGTTCTCGGTCCCCTGTTTAATGAGCATTTACTACGTACCTATTGTGTTAAGCATTTGAGATACAGAGAAACAGTAAAATACACTACCTGTCCTCCGCAGCAGCAACAATAGGTGGGAAATCAAATTCGAAGGGGGTTGACGTGTGACCTGTCTTCGAGGTTCTCAGGGAAAACTTCCTTGGGATAATGTTGACATTAAAATGTTAATGACACCGAAACTGTATAGAGTGAATGCCGAGAGGGAAATACGGCCCCTCCTGCCTTTGACAGTGGGAACAGTTTGATTGAAAATGTTTGCCACACAGATCTTCACTCCCTGGACTAGAACCCTCAGCCTGTGTTTGCTCATTACACAAGCCCTCTGGGCCGGCTTCTGCCGAGGCATTGAAAACGTGCCAACCTGGTGTCGCAGGAAAAACAAGCCTGAGTGTTCAGCAACTGGAACCTGGCGAGCGGAGCCACGATCACCCACTCCGCGAGCGGGCAGCCAACGTCCCGCTGCCTGCAGCGATGGACATGGAGAAGGTCAACTCCATGGGCTTCGGAGAGTTCGTGGACGTGTTTGGGAATGTCATTGAGAGATGCCCTCTGATTGCAGCTGCTGTTTGGTCCCAGCGCCCGTTCTCTGACTTGGAAGACTTGGAAAAGCACTTCTCTGCCTTTATTGATGCGCTGCCACAGTCAGGTAAAGCTTCATAGACTGGGGGATTCTCCACAAGGGGTTTCAACTGTTCTTAGCAAAACACAGTTAGATCTGTTTAGTTGGTTATAATTGATATATTTATTTAGCTAATTTTATTGTAAGGGTCACTAAGTTTCCTTAAAATTAGAAAATGGGAGTCAAACACTTGCTAGGTGTTAGGCCAAAAGTCAAATGAAAGAATGTATGTTGGCTCAGGTAAAGTGGCTGTTAAATATTAAAGCTCTGAGGTCATGAGGAAGAGGATGGGCCTCACAGAGGCTCAGAGGCCAAAGGTCAGGCTGCAGGCCTACCCTCTCTCAGCTGAATGTGCTCACTCTGGGAATGTCCTGTATGCAGGGGAGAAGACGGGTCGATATCAGAATATCTCAGGAGCCCAGGGGAAAGAGCAAATGGCTGACATTTTTATCAGAAAGGGCCAGTTTGGACTGGATTGCTGAGGAAAGTAAACTCATTCAGATCAGCTTCTCCCGCAGGGAAGTAAAGGAGGAAAGACAAAAATCTGAATGAATTCCTCTGGAGAAAGGGAAAGAATTTGTTGATTTCTGCTGGGTAGGGAGAGAAAAGGAGGCACTTCAGGATGTAGGGTTAAATGCGAAGGTTTAGGCAAACCCCAAGTGACAGCCTCACAGGGATTTAGAAGCCAAGGGGGCCGTCTTGATACCCTTCAGAGAGGCCTGGGACTGATGAGCATAGGCGTTGGATGCCTTACCTGGGCATTCAGGTCACCCCGCAGCGCCAGTTCTGCTTACCAAAAGTGGCCCACTAGGCACTCGCATTCCACGCCCGGCTCCACGCCAGCGAGCCGGGCTTCTTACCCATTTAAAGTTTGAGAATAGGTTGAGATCGTTTCGGCCCCAAGACCTCTAATCATTCGCTTTACCGGATAAAACTGCATGCCCAGGAGCTGAAGGGAGGAGAGGGGGACAAGGGCTGCCTTCACAGGGGCCCTTCCACAGAGATCTGGGCAGGGAGGCAGAGCTCATGCTCTCCTCTCTTCCACCATGAGGCCGACACACAGAGTCTTGCCTGTCTGCCCAGGGCTTTGACATCTGGGTAATTTCCCATTGTCAGTTGAACAGCTCCCAAGTAAGAAACTCATTTTAATTCAGTTTAAGCACATCCGGGAAGAGTGGAGGACAGTGTTACAAAATCAAACTGGCAGAAATGTGTGGGCCATGTTGAGACCCATTTCTCAGGGCCTCCTCAAAGCTGAGCTCTCCCCTCCGCCACTGGGCTCAGGCCTCAGGGGAGCTGATGGGCACTGGAGCCCTGTGACTGATGGCCCCCAGGAGCAGCCAGCCCAGAGCCTGCAGAGCAAGCTGGAAAAAGCAAGGGGCCTTGGGAGCCCATGTTCAAAATGTCTGGCAGGAAAATGGACGAGGCCAAATGCAAGTCTTCTAAACCAGAAGGGAAGTGATTTTTAAAGGGTGTGAATGCCTTAGAAATGACTTTTTTTTTTTTTTTTTTTTCCTATCAGGAAAAGAAAAAGAAAAAAAGGGAGGAAAACCCCATGACCTGTCTCAATACCCACAGAGGTGATAGGGCTGGGCAATGAATGTATTGAGAGAGAAAGCTATGATGGCATAAATAATTGCAATCTATTATTCACTGGCTTCAACAGTTATTCAACATTTGTTTGGATTTTGCTCTGTACCAGGAGCTTAGATAATGCAATAAAAATTCCCCCATTTCTGTATTCCTTCCCACCAGCAGTCACCCCAACCAGCTTGACCAGAAGCTCTAGTTAAGGTTAGTTATGTCTCGTTAAGGCATCTCTCTGCTGGTGGAGCCTGCTTGTCAGCCCTAGCCTGGTGTCCACGCTTCTCTGGGACAGGCAGCTGGCAGCAGAGCCTCAATGCAGTCTGGGTGGCTGCTGCATATCTAATCACCTTAATGACATCAGAGAGGTGGTATTAGCAAAGTAATAATAATAACAATAGTTAAAAGGTATTCAATCCTTACTATCAGTGTGTTTCAGGCACTTTTCCAAACACTTAGCATTTGTTAACTCATTTGACCCTCATACTAATCATATAAAACAAGTATTATCGTTATTGTCCCCATTTTAAAGAGGAGAAAACTGAAAGGAGGAGAGACTAAGTAACCTGATCAAGGACACATAGCTAGAAAGTGGCCGAACCGGGGTCCAAGCCCTGACAGTCAGCCCAGCAGCCTTAGAAGGATTTTCCAGAGAATCAGAAACAAAGTCTAGAAACAGTTTCTAGGAGTTTTATTCATTTGTTTACTAACGTGTTCAACTAACATAAATGCTTGATGTCACAGATCCTGTTTTATTTAAATAATCAAATAAAATGGGATTTACTGCATAGTCAAGTTTTATTCCTTGAATAGTAAGGAACGAACTGGGTGTACATCTTTATATCCTAAAACTAAAAGGGAGTTTAATATTTTTTCCTTACCCAAGGATATGCTTTTTATTGATTTTAGAGAGAGGAAGGGGGAGAGGGAGAGAAACATCGAGCATTTGCCTCCTACATGCCCAGCAACAGGGCATTGAACCTGCAACCTGGGTATGTGTGCCCTGACAGGGAATTGAATCCACCACCTTTTGGTGTACAGGACTACGCGCCAACCAACTGGACCACACCGGCCAGCACTAAAAAGGACTTTAAAGAGATGTGCAGGCTATGGTGATCTTCCTGGTCAAACATTTGTTTTTAATGATCTAAGAAAATTCTACCATTAGCAGGAAACTGAAAATCCTGTTTCTTGAGTAAACAAACCAAGGTTGACAATCCATAAAGATCATTAGCCAGTAGGTGGCAGTCCAGGATTAATATTTGGCTCCAGCAATAATTGGGTAAGTATCCTTTCAAGCCAACCTCTGGATTTCCAGGAGAGGGGAATAGCAATAGTAAAGGGAAGAAGGTTGAAACACACACACACACTCTCACACACATGGCCAATAATGAACCAGTTCACTACTGATCTGTGTTAAAAATCAAAGAGCAATAAAACAGTATAATAGAGTTAATCGTGCTTCTCCGTGGAATTTCAGAATTGAAATTTGGCATAATTCATTATTTAATACTCACTTCAAAACATAGTTTTTGAATTAGTAGAACTACATGCTAACAAACCCCTGGAATGTAGGCTATAAGGTAGATGAAACTATTAAAGAGATGAGACTGTCAAAAAATATATTTTAAAAAGTCTTTCCCAAGAGTGAAGTATTGGTCAATAAGTACTTATAGAGTGGCCCTGGCTGGTTAGTTCAGTTGGTTAGAGTGTCATCCTGATATGTCAAGGTTGTGGGTTCGATTCCCGGTCAGGGCACATATAAGAATCAACTAATGAATGCACAAATAAGAGGAACAGCGATCAATGTTTCTCTCTCCTCCCTCTCCCTTTCTTCCTCTATCGCTCTCTAAAATCAACGAATAAGGCCTAGCCAGTTTGGCTCAATGGATAGAGTGTCGGCCTGTGGACCAAAGGGTCCCAGGTTCTATTCCAGTCAAGGGCACATACCTTGGTTGCAGGCTCCTCTCTGGCACAGGGCCTGGTCAGGGCTCATGCAGGAGGCAACCAATCGATGTGTTTCTTTCACATTGATGTTTCTCTCTATCTTTCCTTCTCTCTTCTACTCTCCCTACAAAATCAATGGAAAAGTATCCTTGGGTGAGGATACACACACACACACACACACACACACACACACACACACACAAATCAATGAATAAAAAGTAAAAAACTGGGGATAGGAACAGTGACCAAGACAAGTCCCTGCCTCAATGAGTTTACATTCTAGTAAAGAGAGACAGAATTAACATCCTATATAATAAAAGCCTAATATGCTAAGTGTCTGAACGTTCAACCAATTGCTATGATACACACTGACCATCAGGGGGAAGACACTCCTACCAGTAGGTTAGCTAGCTGATGGGGTCCAGCCTGTTGGGACAGGGTGAGATGGGCCGGACACGCCCTGGAGCCCTCCTGCAGTCCCTCCCCAGCCTCTAAAACATTTCTTCTAATTAATTTCCTTTCAATGTGCATGAATCCATGCACCAGGCCTCTAGTAAATAAATAAGATCATATCAGATTCTAAAACTTATTAGAAAATATGTACCATTGTAGAAAATACATAATAAAAGAGCTCTTTCTTAAGAAATTATATTTGAGTTTAGAACCAAAAGATGAGAAGGAAGTCATCAAATATCTAGGAGATCACTTTAAGAAAAAGAACCTGAGCCTTTTGACACTTAGCGGGTACAGAAAGACCAAGGTGACTGAAGAATAGTGAGAAGTGGAGGAGTATGAGGAAAGAAAGGTCAGGTGGAGGGACTGCTATAGCAATGAGAGTGAGAGGTGATGGTTCTTTGGGTGAGGACTGAAGGAGGGGAGATGGAGATGTATGGCTGGATTCTCAAAATAGATTTTAGAATTAGAGCCAACAGGAGTTTTGAATTTGTTGGGGAAAGGCAGGTCAAAAACTAAGAGAAATTAAGGATAACGCCTAAGTTTTTATTCTGAGCAACACGGTGGGTGGTGGCACTGTTTTCTACAATGAAGAAGACTTAAGAATTGAGAGGACAGGATGGAGAATGGGAGTTTGTTAAGTCTGAGATGCCTGATAATCACCTGGATAAGAATACAGTGTGTTGAGGTGAACCATAACAAAGGTACTAGATCTGGGTGTCATCAAAGACTTGATGGCATTTCAAGCCATGGGACTAGATGAGAACGCTTAGTGAATCATTGTAAATATAGAAGGGAGAAGATGTGAGTCCTGGGTACTTCAGTGTTCGTAATCTGGCAGAGCAAGAACCACTGGTGAAAGTAGGCTAGTGATGGTTATCTTTCAAGAAGGAGAGAGGGCCAACCCTGGGAAATACTCCCAAAGAGGTTTCAGGAAAAGAGGACAGCACTGGTCATGGGCTTGGGCAAGATGTCCATCATCTATGCCCTTAATGAATGCAGCCTGGTTGGTGGGTGGTAAAGTGAATCTGGAATGAGAGGTGAAGAAGTGGAGATACTACATAGAAAGCTCCTATGAGTTGTTGTAAAAAGGAGCAGAGACACAGGGAGAATCTGGAAGACATCAGGGACTCAATAAAGGGATTTAATTTTGTTTATGGGACACGTGATTCTAAGGCATGTCTGTGTGTTGATAAGGCAGTGAGTTGAAGGAATAGAAATTGATGTTTGAAATGGCAGTCTTTGAGATGGACAGAGGGGCTGGCTTCAAGAACACCACTGGAGAGGTTGATCTTCAACAGAAAGAACAGATGATCCATTGTACCAAGAGGGAGCACACACTAGTTGGCACAGATGTAGGAACACAGGTAGATTGGAAAGAAGTTTTAAGCCAATTGCCTGCTCCTCAGTGGCCACTATTGCCTGCCCTGTCTTCCCCTATTGGGACAAAGAGTGCCAGCTCTTTGTTCCAATAGGAATTCTTAAGATTTCATGACTTGTAGCAGCAGCAATAATAATATTCCACACCGACATCTCTACTTGTGACATGCCAGTGGCATAGGCAGTAGGTCTAAGATTTTGGAAAAGACTAAAGAGCAGGCAGCACTGAAATGGCCCTGAGAACCACTTTGGGATTCCAGGTGGGAGGACCTGCAGGACTGAGGCGGGAGGTGGGAAGTACCAGCCCCGCTGGGGTTTCACGCCAGGGCTGGGCGTTCTGACAGAGTGCAGCACTGGACAGGGTGCCGACGCTTTGGTACAAGCCAGGGTTCTGGATCAGAGCCATCTTGGGCAGCAGCAAAGGGCGCAGTGGTTTGGGGCAATAAAAACAAGACTGGACATCAGCTTCTATTTCTTGCAGCTAAGGTGTTCGTGTATGTAAGTTCCAGTTTATTTTTTAGTCTCTTTTCTTCTTCCCTTTGCTCTGCCCCTTTTCTCAGCCTCCTTTCTCTCCCCCTGCAAACAGTGAAAAGAAAACACATGCTTAATTCTAGGCAAACATTAACCCCAGGCGATATTTTTGAGAGAGAAGACAAACCCAGGGGAATGAGAAGAGAGGAGCAAGGGCAGAAGGAAAGAGGCATGTGGGTGTGTGCGGGACAGTGGGGGGAGTCCCTTGGGGGAGGAGTAAGGGGACAGGTTCTGCCCCCACACCAGGGCCCCCTACTGTGCCCAAGCTTGAGCTGGGCTGGGCCTGGGAGAGTAAGAAATAGGGGGAAGGGAAGCTGAGAGACCTGGGGTCAGGTGAGAGGACTAGGGATCAGTCCCCTCTACAGGAGGCTGCTTTGAAAATCTGAATATGCAAGGAGGGAATATGGGGCGGGTCCTGCCAGGTGGGAACAGTTCCCCCCATCCCAGCCTAGTCCTCTGAGGGTCCTGGGGCTGGGTGAATGCACAGCGGATCCAGCAGCTGCGTGGCACAGCCAGCCCTGACTCAGGGCTGGGAGGTCACCAGGTAGGGAATTTAACACGTACATTTTCACACCACCGGGATGGGTGGGATGCAGGAAGCGGGAAAGAACCACCTCCTGTTTGCAGGACCTGCGGGACAGAGCCCTTGAGAGCGGTGGTACAGAGGTGGGATTATTGGTGACATGGGTTTCGTTTTAAACTCCCCTTAACCTTGTAGAGGCAGCTAGTGCCTCCCAAATGTCCCATGATTTGGAGTTCAGGTGTGGTCAGCTACTGGCTAAGTGACCTTGGGGAGGTCACCTAACCCTTTCTGGGCCTCCATTGAATCCTCTCTTAAATGCAGATGTTCCCCCACAGTTCTCCCCACCACTCAGGACTGGCATAATCTGGCGTTCGATGGCGTAATCACAATCATTCTTTAATTGGTCTGAAATTATAAAGTTTGAGTAAAGGGATGTTTACATCACAATGAAGAAGGGTTTTAAAATGTTTATTTATTGATTGACTTGAGAGAGAGAGAGAGAGAGAGAGAGAGAGAGAGAGAGAGAGAGAGATTGTTCCAGTTAGGTTTGCATTCATTGGTTGATTCTTGTATGTGCCCTGACCCGCCTCAGAGTCTGGGGATAGTGCTCTAACCAGCTGAGCTACTCGGCCAGGATGAGGAAGGGTTTCTATGACCCCCCCCCTTTCCAAAAGAACCCGCTGCCCGTTCCTAGCACCAGAGCCAATGCTTCCAGCTGCACCTCAGTCAGTTACAGTTTCCTGTGACCGAGAATAGTGGCAGTTGGATGTTTGCTGGCATTGGGCACTGTGTTTTAGTCGGATGAGTTGTCTCTAATCCTTACAACTACTCAGCAAATTTGTTGGCATTACCTTCATGGTACAGATCACCGCTTCCCCTCATCATATTGGAAACGCACCCAGCCTTGAGGGGTCCAATTCTCTCAGGAGGGCTAAGTGGACAGACTGGCCAGGGCTCAGGAAAACCCCCGTATTAGGACTTAAACGCCTAGGAATCACACGGGGTGGGGTGGGAGGCAGGGGTGGGTGGGTTCTCATTTGAGGCCTAGGTGATTATGAGAAGCGGTCTCTCAAGAAAACCTTGTACTCTGCAGTGTATTTGGGATCTACTGTGGGAAAAGGAGAACGAACCTCAGACAGGGCGGGTGGTGAGTGGGTGCTGTTTTCCTAAAAGGAGGAAAGCTGCTTTCACTCAAAGGGCAGTGGAATTCCGGCTGGAAATTTCTTTTTTCCAGTTAATCATCTGCAGGGCTCGTTGGATGCCTGATTCCAGAAGGGTCACAAAATCCTGGGCATTTATTTGCCACGCCCCGTGGGTGTTACCCCTGGGGACCCTCACCGTCCTCCTTCGGAAGAGAACGAACCCCATTCCTCGGCCCTAGCAGGAAGTCCTCAGGCCCTTCGCCCCGCCCTCTTCCACATCAAAGCCCCCCTGAGAGCAAAGGACTTTGAAAAGATACGAAATGCTCCGGCTTCTTATCGCGTCCCTGCTCCCTCCCGAGCAAGTCGTAAATTCCGAGTCTCAGCGGCCTCACCTCCTCCCCTCTTCTTGCCCCAAGGTCTCAAAGGACAAATTTGTCGCTTCCCGCCCCGCTCCCGGGCCCTGGCCGAGGCTAAGGAAGCGGGGGACGGAGGGGCGCCAGATTAGGGACCTGTTTGTGGGGCTAGTGCGCTGGGCGCCCCGCTCCTTCGGGACACTCCTTTTTGCCCCCCATCCCCTCCTGGGAACCTCGACTCCCTCCCGAAGCCTCTGCGGGGCGGGGCGGGGCCGGGCCGGGGTAGTCTCGTTCGCGCGGTCAGCCCTTCGGTAACGCGCCCGCCGCGGGGCTGTGCTTCTCCGCAGGCCAGGAGGGCATCCTGCGCTGCCACCCGGACCTGGCGGGACGCGAGCTGCAGCGGGGCGCGCTCACGGCCGAGTCGCAGCGAGAGCAGAGCGCCGCGGGCCTGACGAGCCTGGGCGCGGAGGAGCGGCTCCGGCTGGCGGAGCTCAACGCCCAGTACCGAGCGCGCTTCGGCTTCCCCTTCGTGCTCGCCGCGCGCCTCAGCGACCGGGAGGCCGTGCTCCGCGAGCTGGCGCGCCGGCTGCACCGCCCGCCCGCGCTGGAGCTGCGCGCCGCCCTGGGCGAGGTGAAGAAGATCGGCCGCCTGCGGCTCGCCGACCTCGTCGGCGCCGACCCCTCGCGGCTGTAGCGCCCGGCGCGGGACGCGCGGGGACCGCGACCCTGCAGGGTGCGCCCCCCGCAGGAGGCTGACGCGGGCCCGGACCCGAGTCTACACGCGCGCACGAAGGAGAGGAGAATGGAGGCGATCACACCAATAATGAGCCCTTTTGTTCACCCCGCCGCCACACTCGCACGCTTTGCCAAAATGTCTATGTAGTATCGTGCCTTGTCCCATTCATCTACCTTTGCAGCCCGTTGACACCACCAGCTTTTGTGGTTTCCAAAGCGCTATCCAGCTTTGGCTACCCACCCTCTCCTGCTAAGCGGAGTTGCCAAGCAAAACTGACGGAAAAGGAATCTTTTATTCTATAGCGGTTTGTCTGTCTGTTCTTCTCTCACTGCACTTGCTGCACAGACATTTACCTGTGGGTGGAAGCGGCATTCTCTCCCTAGGGCACCTACAGGAGCCCTGGCAGGGACAGCAAGCACTGATCTTGGTCTTCGGCGCCAGGGACGTGGCGATTGGGGACGGTGGGCAGGAGAGGCTGCGATGGGCAGCGCTGGGAAGGCGCCTGGTGGGGCAAGCGGAGTGGCGGCTGAAGTCTCGGTCGGAAGAGAGGGGTGGGAGTGGGGCGGCTCCAAGCTGGGCAGGCCTGTAGGTCAGGGGTGGGCGGCTTGCCATCTGTCTTGAAGGTGGGCTCCTCAGAACTTCAGACTGCCTAGGAGACACAGTCATTTTTAAAAATTAACAATAAAAAAAATCAATAATTTAATGACACTTAATGGAACAGAGCTGGATATCCCCCCCCCCCAGATGTAGATGAGACACCATAGTGCTGATAAAGCGGGTAATGGGAGAAAATTGGTGCCCACAGACATGTTTTTGGCAGGTAGGGGAGTAGGTCTGCGTGTCAACCCTGGGGATCCAGAGCCCCAGCTGACTGGGCAGCTCCCTGCACTGGCGGCCAGAATGACCACTCCTGCAGGCTCTCTCCCGCCCTCACTCCCGCCCTCCCACACACACATCCGAAGGTCTAACTGACCCCCAAAAATACTACTTAGGTTTCCGTTGGCAGAGGAGAAACTAGCCATGTGTATCCTCTTCATGAGGGCAGAGTTGGCCCTTTTAAAGCCAAGAGCCCCCATTAGTGACCAACTGGTCTGGGTTAGCAGCAGCAACAGCAGCAAGAAAACCTTTTCCGTAAAAAGTGGTGTGGTTGCACCCTTGGTTGGGGCTGAATTCAACAGAAAGAAGCTACTCTGGCAGCACCGGAATTCTAATCAAAGAATTAAAATTCCCTGTTAGTGGTGAGGGTGAAGGCGTCTGTGGACCGGATCTGTGCCGGGTGCCTTTTCTGGGTGTTGGAGGCCAGGTGCACACCACACAGGCGCTCAGTGATTCCGTTTCTGTGCTCTGGGGCCCAGGGGCAATGGAGGAGCCCTTGGGCCTAGGGCTCGCTCCAGCCAGGGTAACTTGGGGGCTTTCCTGAGATGCACAAGAAACCTGCATCTCAGGAAACAAGTGCCACAGGCTGGGCCTGACACTCAGAATTTTGCACTAGATTCAAGGCACCCTGTCCAAGGCTGGCTGAGGCCAGCACTTAGATAACTCGGCCCCAAATGCAGAGTCTGGGCTCCTCCTGTAAATGCGCCCACCCTAAGATAGGGAGACCTCCCCAGAGCTGAGATGGCCAGTGGTGTTTTCAGAACGAGTGTAGATATGATCTGGGTCTCTCAGGCTCCACCATGTGTCTCCAATTTCACAGATACATTTCAACGGTTCAAAGCTTGTGGGGGGAATTGTTTATTTCTGCAGGAGGGGGATACACGTGGGGAAAGACGCTGGACCCGCCCCTTCAAAGGAGCTGGTGGTTTAGGGGAGGGAGAGCTGGCTGAGTGGTGCCTCTTTCAAAGGATGCCAGAGCCTTTACAGCCAGGAGGGCGGACACGGGTCTGGGCGCCCGGCTGGGAGGGCCCTGGCCAAGCCGCTGGTGGCTCCTGCTTTTTTCTCCGGGAGGAGCAGAGGCCGAGGCCGTTCCTCGAGCGGGCAGGTCGCCTGTGGCTGCCGACTCTGGCAGGACAGTTTTCTCCAGCCACGGTTTGGCTCAAACCCTGGGCTTCTGCGGGCCTCAGCCTGGCGGGGACAGTTCCTTGTTTCGGCGCTCTGGTGCGCAGGATGCGGGAGATTTCCGACGGCAGGGCCCAGGACTGGGATCCCAGCCTGCGCGCTAGCGGGACGGCGTGGGTGGCCAGAATACGCTTAGTTGAGTGCTGGGGGCGCAGAAGAGGTTGGTAGATGCCAGGGTTCGTTACAAAAGCATGACGGCACCGCTGAGGCCAGGAGCTGTTTTCAGTTTCTGGAACCCTCCCACCCCTCTACATACACGCCCTTCTCAGGAGGGGCTGCTCCCCTTACCGTGTGCGAGCCCAGCCCGGGCGGCGTGCTCCGAGTGCAGGGACCCGACAGCCCCCCGCTAGGAATCCCCGGGCCCAACCGAGCTTGGCTTTCACGTGAACCACGGAACCGGGAACCTGAATGCGGGCTCCTTTCATTACCGGAGCGGGGAAGCTTTTTGTATCTAAATGCTGTCCACCCACACGGATGCGGGAAGAAGGGAAGGAGGGAAAGACAACACAATTTCTTTTCATAACCATTAACTCGTTTTACATCTGACATGTCCCAGAACAGCCACAGGTATCAGCTTTTATTACAAAATGAAGAGCTCTTCTCAGAAGTGCGACAAAAGCAGATGGAGATCTTCTTTGGCAACTGGAGAAAAATCTGGGATAGAATTTGTGGAAAATCCACCAACCAATAAACGAATAAACCGCAGCGAGCAGGTGCCTGTTGAAGGGAGAAGTAAATAGGCCGGGGGAAGTCTGAACTGTCCCCAGAGCAGAAATGGAGTGTCCTGGTGCAGCCTGGGAGTTGGGGTTCTGGGTGTCATGGGAGGCACTGTTTCCGGGCAGCGCCGGCAGCGTGAGGAATAATTAACACAGGCACAGAATTAGAAGTCATCCCACGGCGCACATAAGTTATGAAAATCCTGTGGCACACAGAAAATACGCTATCTTGTTTGCTGATCTGACAAAAAATAAGCATAATTTAGATTCATCCACACCAGGAGACTATTGTTGTGTTGGCTGTTGTCATTTTTAATTTGATAACCTAAGGGAAACATGCAGTACCCGACTAAGAGGTCTGCGTGTCCTCTTTTAGTCAGGTAGTGCATGTTTCACAAATTCTTGCGGCACACGGGTTGAAAAACGGCTGCACAGAGCAGCTCATTCCCTTTGAGCGACTGGAATCGCTAGGTGTGCAATCCTGGCGGAGTCACCTAACCTTTCTGAGTCTCTGATTTCTCTTTGTAGAATGGAGGGGCTGCGCAGACAGTAAGCCGCCTCCTCTGCAGGGAGAGCCGTTTTCCAATGGGCCCCGTGGCTCCAGGAGAGCGGGACCTTTCCTTGCTCCCCCGCTTCAGGTCCCATAAAGCCTACTGTGTAGGGCTTCCTAGGAACATATTTTCATATGACAAACAAAGGTCACCTGAAGCGCGAGGCGCTGGGGAGTGAACAAACCGTAACTGAAGGCTCTGTGGTAGCCTCCAGCTGCTGCTGGCCTGAGAGCCAGGGCTCCCAGCATCAAGGGTTTTCCTCTGGGGTGAGACCCAAGTTCCTCCCTCTTGGGGCTTTAAATCGTTCTCTTGTGCCCATCCATCACACAGAATTAGGGTGCATTATATAATATGCACACAGTGTCCACAGACTGATGTCAGCAGAAAGGGAGGAAATGGGCCACCCCACCATTTACTCACATAACTTTCACCCAATGAGCAAAACCAGATTTCTGCCCCCAGATTCTTCCCCCTCTTCTGAGGCTCTTTATTTTCCCAGGTCTCCTGGCTTTGAGAATGGAACTTGACTAGAAGAGCAGGGGAAAGCTATTGCTTGCCTTGGTTCAGAGCGCTTGGAGAGCACTAGGCACCGTCTTCCCCTCTGCCTGGCACACTGGTCCCTGAGCCCACACCGCCTCCCACACGCTCAGGAGCTTTTGCCCAGGCGGAGAGGACCAGACGCTCAGTTTGACTCTGCTGGGCAGGGACAAACCTGCTTGGGGCAGCTTTGGACAGCGGTGGTCCCTCCTGCTTTTCAGGAGGAACGCATTGGGCTCCATGTAGCCTGATGGGGCCAAGCAGGCGGTGGACGCTGGGGAGACCCCGCAGAGAGGACACTGTGATCCATTTTTTCCCAGTGAGATTAGCTGAGTGGGCTGTAGCAGGCCAGGGTGGAGATGTTGGATCAAATCAGCCATTATTGAGCCTTCGTATGTGTGTGTGTGTGTGTGTGTGTGTGTGTGTGTGTGTGTGTGTGTTGGGGGGTGTTGCTGATTGAATGCAATGGCCGAGGAACTCCCTAAACTCCAGTGAAGTAGAGATTGAGTCATTTTTCCAACAGCAATATAGATTGCCAAGCTGAAAACTTTATCAGACATTTTCTTCTTTCTCACTCGTCCTCATTTATCCTGGAAACTCAGGCCACGGCAGGGTGAGGGTTTCCTGTGCAGGGGTGGAGAGGGAGTCAGGAAGGGTGCATTATTTGGATGATTTTCTTGATCTTAAGAGGAATTTAGAAAGTAGACTTGCATGGGAAGGTGGGTAGAGAGGGCCTGCCCTGTCTGGGTTACAAGGGTCACAGCCTCCCCAGTTTCCAGGAGCCACAAATATGGGGGAAAGCAGGGTCCCCCAAGGTGGAGCAAACACCGGGGACCTTTGAGCAGGGAGGGAGCCCTGTCAATGATCTGTGGATTCAAGGAGTGTCTCATCTGCTTAGAGAAGCAATCCACCCCTTCCGGCACCTCCTGCTTCCCATCCCCCTCTGCACCCCTGCCCTTGCCACCAGGTGGAATCCTGGAAGCCCCAACCCTCTCTGAGGAATGTGGAATGGCCTCTACACCGTCAGTGACAAAGAGAAGCCCCTTTGATAACTGAGTTGTGGCTGCCCATGTAGTCTTCCTGACACTATTTACCTGGGTCCCTCCTCTCACCCTCTTTTGCCTTTAAAAGCCTGATGTAGCTCTGGCGCCGTGGGGCCAGCACAGCTCCAGCCCCAGTCCAAGTCCAGCTCCAAGCTTCCCAAATAAGTTGGCCTCTTCCAGAATGATTTGCTGAAGGCTTCTCTGGCGAGGCAGCTGGGGGAGACCAGAGATACTGGCTGGAAAGGAGCCTTGGGCGGCAAGGTTGGGGATGACCTTGCCAGGTGCTTCTCAGTTCAGGCCAAAAGGCTCTGAGGAAATTGCCAAGCACTTTGGGTCTAGAACTGAGAAAGCGCTGCTTGGGGCCCTAATGCAGGTCGCACCCCCATTTTCCCAGGGCCACACACCTGCACCCAGAGGCTGGGGGAGCCACCCCATCCACAGCAGGCCTCGGAATAGCTACCTAACAATGACCTGCTAGAGGCTAAGCCATCAGGATAAAGAGATCCAGGCCCTCTTCCCATCAGCCACCTCCACCCCTCTCTGGTTGCTCCCACCGCCTTGCCACTGCAGCACCCGATGGGAGGACAGCCTTAATATGAGAGGGCACATCCACTCTGAGGAGCTTGTCCAAGGACATCCTTATTGGCTTGCCCCTCACCCAACAGCCCAGACCCCAAGCTCATGGGCAGGGCCATGCCACTACTATGGACCTTTTTTTTCCAGGAAGGAAATTAATTAGTTTTCACAAGCATTTCCTTTCTCCAGCCCTTGAACCCCAAGTGAGTCTCAGGCTTCCCTGTAGTCCGGCCAGTTCTGGGCCTGGCATGACCCCTGGGGCCAGAGCAACTCAGGCCACCCCCAAAGCATCTGGGTGGGCAGGCCAGAGCCCTTTCTCTGGTGCAGAGCACAGAGACACAGCTGGAAAACCAGGACAATTAGCCAGTGGCTTGCAGCCGGGCCATAAAAATGCAGGAAGTGGCCACCACAGGGCGGAGGGGATGGCTGTCCCCAATAAAGTGATTGTTACAAAGAATGCTCACATTCCGAAGACACAGGCTCAAGCCTGGGCCTCCGCTGACTTTCAGAGCTTGAGGCCTGGGAGGAGGTGTGGGGACGGAAGGAGGGACTGTGTCTCCAGGAAGAGGAGGAAGATGTTTACTAGATCAAAAGTCCGCAGTGCCCATCACTTAACCTCTCACATTCCTGCCCCATCAGGACTGCAGACACCCTTTCACACGCACACCCCATTCAATGATTTGAGTTTTGTAATGCGGCTTGCAATGTATTTTCTGGAGAGGTCCGATGACTCTCAGCTGTCTGGGCCAGGCTCAGGGGTTCCAGATAGATGACCTACTCAGGTGTCCCACCTCTTGAGTGCTCAGCTTGCTTCCTTGGGAAACACAAAGGACCAGAGGGACTAGCAAGCAGGAGATCCCGAGGCCCTGGACCTCTTTGGGCCTGGCGTCTCTGCACCATGCATTTTGGTGGGTGTCATCTGTAAAATGAAGAGCATGACAACACCAGCTTTGTTCCGGATCTAGGGAGAAGTGAGGATCAGGGGAGATAAAAGACATTAGAGCAAAAACAACAACAACAACAGAAAAGACACTGGAAAGGGCTCCAGAGATGATTAGATGAAGTGACAAATACCAGAAAGCACTTGACAAGGAGCATCAAGTGCAGATCTGGAGGAGAGAGGCCAGCACCCTGCCCGTTCCAGAGCCACCCAGTCAGCCTGCCCAGCCCAGCCCAGCTGGCCCTGTGAATCCCAGCCTGGCACTGCCATCCAGAGAGAAGGCAGACAGCCACCTCAGGCCCACTCCCTATAGTTGCTAAACCGAGAGAAGTGCGCGTGCAGTAGCCAGATCACCTTGGCCTGCACCCCTCTAGGTGCAGATCCCCAGCCAGGCCTGCAGCATAGGTCCCCGCAGCCCTGGCCCCTTGGACACAATGCTTCAAAAACCAAGGAAGATCCTTTTTCAACTCTTCCCCACCCAGAGCTTTTCAGAGGCAGTCATTAGTAATGGGCCAGGGTTGCCTTACCATCCCCTGGAGATGAAAAACAATTTTCTTCCAAGAACGTTTTATCCACCTTGTAAAGTGCTTTTAGGATCTAGGTACACATTACCAGACAGTCTAGGTTCCCCTTTCCTTGATTTTTAACCACATGTTTAAGTATAATAAATAAACATGTAAGTGTAGCTCGTGGAGTTTTCATGAACACACGGTATAACCAGTACCTCACTCCAGCAACCCCCTCCTGCTCCATTACTGCCCTCCACTAGCTTGATTACTAACTTGGTTTGTAGTTAAGACTTTTGAGTCTTAGTGTAATTTCTTAAAATTAATTGCTTTAACTTAAATCCCAAATGTTAGATGGACGGGAGATGCAGCCCACAGCTAGGGTCATAATTTATCTCATGCGGAAGGAGGAGCGGTTTCCTTGGGGAAAAAAAATAAATGATCAGCGATGACGGTTGTTGGGGGCTCAGGGGCGGGCGTTCTGGCCATGGCTCAAAGCCGGAAGGAACCTCCGAATCTCTACTTCCTCCGCTCTTCACCTTATGGTTAGGTTAGAAAGGCTGTCATCAAAGCAATGGCTTCCCTTTTCTCTTAGAATAGAAGGAGCATCTTGAACCCCTCTTTTCTGCAAATGATGAACACAGCCCCTTAGCCCCCAAGTTCAGATTCCCATCAAGACAGCTCTTCCCCCCTCTCTTTTGCAAGTTTCTTGATTTCATTCTTTGAACCTGTGATTGGAGGTTAAAGTGCACCGGGTTGGAAGGAGGAAGCTCTTAACAATAAAGGTTTGAATATTTAGCTGTGATCGAGTCGCCGCCTTCTCGAGAGCTGTCCCCCACCCCTTATCTTTTAAAATGCAAATCATATTTTGGGGGTTGTGCGCAGCGTGCGCGCTGCGCCTCGAAGCCTCCAGCCATTGGTGTCTGTGTCATTACTAATAGAGTCCTGTAAACACTCGTTAATCACGTAAGGCCTTTGGCCCCAGGCTCCGTACGCCAGCCAGTGGCGAGTCTTCCCCGCCTCTGCGGCCCGGTGGAAAGGAGGTGGGAGGAAAGAAGGAAGAAAGGGAGGGAGGGAGGGTGGAGACAGGCCAGTGGGAGGGACCGCCTTAGAGGCAGAAGCGCCGCGAGGAGCCAGCGAAGCACCGCGGGCTGGGGCGCAGCCACCCGCGGCTCCTGGCGTCCCCTTGCCCTCTCCCTTTCGCTCCCTGCGGCAGCCCCCAGCGTCCGTCCCCAGGCAGCATGGTGAGGTTGGCTGTCGGGCCCTCGCCACCATGTACGTGAGCTACCTCCTGGACAAGGACGTGAGCATGTACCCCAGCTCCGTGCGCCACTCTGGCGGCCTCAACCTGGCCCCGCAGAACTTCGTCAGTGCCCCCCAGTACCCGGACTACGGCGGCTACCATGTGGCCGCGGCGGCCGCGGCGGCCGCGAACTTGGACAATGCGCAATCCCCGGGGCCGTCCTGGTCCGCAGCCTACGGCGCCCCACTTCGGGAGGACTGGAACGGGTACGCGCCGGGGGGCGCCGCGGTGGCAGCCAACGCTGTGGCGCACGGCCTCAACGGGGGCTCGCCGGCCGCCGCCATGGGCTACAGCAGCCCCACCGACTACCACCCGCACCACCATCCGCACCACCACCCGCACCACCCGCCCGCTGCGCCTTCCTGTGCTTCGGGATTGCTGCAGACTCTCAACCCTGGCCCTCCCGGGCCCGCCGCCACCGCTGCCACTGAGCAGTTGTCCCCCGGTGGCCAGAGGCGGAACCTGTGCGAGTGGATGCGGAAGCCGGCGCAGCCGTCCCTCGGAAGCCAAGGTAAGCGCGGCGCACCCCGAGCGAAGGCGCCCTGGGAGGTGCGGACCCGCACCGGCTGCTGGACGGGCCGCGTGTCCCGTGCGCACCCGGGTGTCGGGGGCTGTTGGGGGCTCCGCGCCAGGAAGGAGAGTCCGGGTGACAACATCAGGAAGCCTGGGCCCTCGGGGCTTCCCTAGCCCCAGCGCCTAGGCTGGAGGGGGTCGGGAGTGAGTATTTTGGTTGCACACCCCAGCTCAGTTTCGGGGAGAAGCACGGCTGTACCAAGGGGATCGCGTCCTCCCCACTTGCTGCCTCCGCTCGCACTCGGTGCGCAGCTTCCAGTCACCTGGAAGAGGGAGCCTCTCACTCTGCCGGCAGGGCTCTGGACCCTCTCTCTCCACGCCCTCCTTCCGCATCCGACGGCTCAGGAGAGTGGCGCCCTGTGGGTCCAGGGCTAGCCTTTCGGGCTAACTCAAGGGATCGGAGCTGCAGCAAGTCGGAGAGGTTCTGTGTCTGGAAAGGAGGTGTTGACTCAGTCTAGGAACTAAGGGGGCGCGCCCCGGTCTTTGAACTTTTGATCTGCAAAAGGGTTGTTTCAATCTGAAGCAGGAGGGCAAGAAGCCGCAGAAGGGAGGAGAAACCGTGGTGCGGATTTAGTCTCTGCTCCAGACAGGAATCGTTTGTTCCGAATCGGGAGTCTCGGTGTGTGTGTGTGTGTGTGTGTGTGCGCGCGCGCGCGCGCGCCAGATGCTTGCTCAGGAGCTATTCCTGCAAAGGTTCTAGGTTTGCCGGACTGTGGGTCTCATTGGTTCCAGGGATGCCACTTACAGTGTCGGGAAGTGTGTTGGGGAGAGTCCTGTTGGCATCTCCTTTTTATTCCATGAGATCTTCCCAGCCCTCTGCACTTCCGCCTTTTTCTCTTCCCTCCTTTCTGCCTCAGCCAGGCCGCAAGCAGGTTATGGTCACTTCGCAGAAGTTTATAGCCAATTACAGCCGCATACATCAGAGCAGCCGTCGGGGGCTGTCTCCGGGCATCGGTTTCTGTGTCACTGGGCACAGGCCAGGATCGTTCGGTGGGAAATGTGGCCGCCCAGGGAGAAGCCACAAGACCGGCCCGGAGGCTTGGTTCCTTCCCCTGGAGGGGGCGCCCTGGTCGGAAAGAGTGCGCACCCAAAGGCTTTCTTTACAGAGCCTGCCAGGGGCGCAACAGGCGGGGACCCGACGGCCTGAGGAGGGGGGGTGGGTGTCTCTGGCGGGTCCGGAGAGAGCGTAGAGCGGAGGGAGAGAGAGGGGAGACACAGGAGCCCAGGCCGAGGGGTCAGCAGATGAGAGGCCGCTGTGAAGTCCCGCGCCAAGGTGGTAAGGCCGCCGCGGGCGCCGGGCGCCCTTGTGATGTTAATGTGGGGAGGCCGCGGCCCGCGGGCCGGAGCCCGGCTCCTCTGCTGAGCGTCATCTGTCAAGGGGCGAGGGGGAGGTACTCAGCCCGGCCCGCTTTGATATACACCTTCCCAGCCTTGCCATTGTCTCTTTTAGGGCCCGGAAAGAGGGTGGTGACTTTCGCAGTCAATAATGAATTCTGGCAAGTCCCTCTCATCTCTCCCCTCTTCCAGTGTCCTCCTTAGTTCCCAGGGGGTGCGGGGCGCCTCCAAGATCCTTGGGCGCGGGCCTCAGAGCGCCAAGGGGCCTGGTCACCGCGTTTACCGGCCCGGCCGCGGTATTCAGCACCCGAGCACCTCAAGGCGAGTGTCTCTACTGGGGAGCTGGGCTCGGAGGACTCCTTTGCGCCCCGCTCCCCAGCCCTGGAGGTGTGTTTCGTAGCTCCAACCTGACTTCAGTGCCAGCCGCGCCTCTACTCTCTGCCTAACCTAGGCAGTTTCTCAGTTTCCTCGTCTGTGAAAAGAGGCGACTACCTGTGAGGCGGTAACGCGTGGGAATGGGCCCACCTCTTGGCAGACCCTGGAGATATGTTAGTTCTCTTCACTTTTTTCGGTGGCGCGGGGTCGGGGCCGCTGCGCCCATTCAAATGCGCCTGCCGGGCGGTGTTTATGTTAATGCGCCTGGCGGGGTGGGGGATGAAAGCTGGGGCCGCCATTTGCTCAGTAGTGGTAATTCAAACAGAATGCGGTTGTTATTAAGGCATTGAAAGGGCTTTTCTTTGATAAGATCGCCTTGTCCGGCATTGTTTGCGACTGTGTTCCGCTTTCAGCGGCTTAGGGGAGCTCCCTCTGATCCAGCCTGTATCTTCCCAGGGAGCTTTTGTTATGGTTTGCAAAGGGTTTTACCTGAACAAAGTCGGCCTGCGGGGCATTAAACACCTCGGAGTAGCTCCCAGACCTTTTAGATCTTTCCGTCGGACTGGGCACTGGGCAGCTGAGCCAGTTCTGCTTCCAGAAGACCCCGGCCTGGCCATGGCTCTGCGAGGGTTGACCCTGGACAGGACAGGCAGGCGCGGCGGAGACACCAGGCTCTGGTCTGCTCCAGTTGCGGAGGCACCATTTGTCAAGGCTCTTCCGTAAAACAATCAATCCCAGGTTTAATATGTTGACTTACCCAGTGAGTACAGATCCCTGGTCGGGATAACTCTGCAGGGTTTGCGGCAGATAGAAATGGGGGATTGAAACACAGAGTGGAAAATGCCCAACCAGGTTTCCTTAGGGGGATATATATATATATATATATCGCCCCCAGTGGGTGGGCTTTCTGCTTGCCAGACCGCCCCCCTTCAGGATTCCTGCAGAGGGGCCTAGTGCTGGGGGGTGGTGGCTTGAGGAAACCAATGCATACTCACAATCCCAGCTGTTTTTAGGTGGGTTTTCATCTCTGGTTGGCCTGAAAATGTGAATATTCCTGGGACTCTGGGTACTCTGCCCTGTTCTCTTTCCCTTTGGGCCTAGCCAGCTCCAGTACCACATTTGGTTCACCAAAATGGTGGCTGGCTTCTGCTTTCTTCTGTGTGTAGAGGTTTTAGGGTTTTTTTAATTTTTAAAAACCACTTAACCCCAAGGTTAGTTTAGTTGCCCTGCAGAGCCCCCCCCTTCTGTTGGGGAGGGTCTTGTCAGACTGGCAGGACAACCCCTGGCCCCCTGGGTGGTGAGGAAGAGAAATGGCCCTTGGGTTAGAGAGGTTTGTCATTACCCATGACTGATGGGCCTTGTAGTTCTCAGCTCTGACTTCTTTTTCCTCCAGTGAAAACCAGGACGAAAGACAAATACCGGGTGGTGTACACGGACCATCAGCGGCTGGAGCTGGAGAAGGAGTTTCACTACAGTCGTTACATCACCATCCGGAGGAAAGCCGAGCTGGCCGCCACCCTGGGGCTGTCCGAGAGGCAGGTGCGAACTGCCCTTCTCCCTTCTGACCTGGTCACTGCCTGAGGGAAGGGGGTTTTCCTGTGGGGGGATTTAGAAGCCAGGCTGCTGCATCCACCCAGTTCTGTGAGCAGCGTAAAGTAGCAGGATGGAAAGCATTTTCCTTCTGAATGCTAAAAAAAATTATAAAAAAGGCTCCTTCCACCTGTGGTCTTTTTGGATGATGTTGAATATTTCTATTTGTTTGGGGGAGGGGGGTGGTGGCTGGGAGGGAAAAAAAACCAGTATTAGTTTAATCCAGAATTCTATTTGGGTCAATGAATAAAGACTTAAAGACCTATTCTCTATGGGCCCAGCACTGTGCCTGGAAAAAATTAATAGACCCCCAGTTCCTGCCCATTAAAACTAGAGGGGTGAGACTTGGCTCACAAACTCTCTATATAATCTAGAAAAAAACAGGTCACATTCACAGCCAGGAAGCTCACATTAAATCTCATTCTCCGCCCCAAGGTGAAGACGATTACTTTTTAATTTAGCTTTGAGAGGCTAAAGGTTGTCATCTGAAGTCCATCTAGCCCTGGCTTCCTGTTGCTTGTTACAGAAAGGGCCTGTGGTTTCTGTGTTTCTTGGGTCTGAGGCTCTGAGCTTTTCCAGTAAAGTTGCAGATAAAGGTTCCTTTGGAAAGAAACCTGGGGGGAAAGGTGTGTGTGGGTGAGGCGCTTCTCTCAGGATGCTGAGTTGGGCTTGAGAGGGGCTCCCTGGGCAGTTATGGAGAAATCCCAAGAAAGGCTGAGATAGGGTTTGGGAGTCCTTCCTGAGAGAGGGCACTTCTTTATTGATGCTAGTGCTGATACTGGCTCTCCCCCCTCTCCCCCTCACATTCTCTTCTTTACCATCTTCTGTTTTCCCCACCTGTCCATTTCCAGGTTAAAATTTGGTTTCAGAACCGCAGAGCGAAGGAAAGGAAAATCAACAAGAAGAAATTGCAGCAGCAACAGCAGCCTCCACCACCTACAGCCCAGCCTCCCCAGCCGCAGCCAGGTCCTCTGAGAAGTGTCCCGGAGCCCCTGAGTCCTGTGTCTTCCCTGCAAGGCTCCGTGCCAGGCTCTGTCACTGGGGTTCTGGGGCCAACTGGGGGGGTGTTGAACCCCACTGTCACCCAGTGACCTACAGTGGCCTGCAGCAGCAGAGCAATTTCAGGCTGAGCCAGGAGGAGCATGGACTCTGCTCGAATCCTCAGGAGAGACCCCTCCCTCCCACCCACAATGTACACCAACTTATCCAGCTCTCAGAGGAAAAATGGCGCCAGGAGCAAATACAAGTGGGGTCGAAGGCCTCAAGGAAGACACTGTCCCAGAATTTGACTTTTTTCGGCCTGACTCTTTCTGCCGTGAGGAGACGGAAATGATGACCACCGGGACTTCACGTGGTACTGGCAGAAGCATTGTCTCGACTGGCTAAACAGACCAGGCTTTCAGCCCTCCTCTCCAGTTCTTTACCTCCAAAATCTGTAGGAGGCACCTCTGGTTGGAGTTGAGGGGGGAAAGGGACTCAGGGGAACGCCAGTGTGTAGAGCCAAGATGGCTACTGCCTACTCACTGTCATCCAAGGACCAGCTGGCCCCTCCAGCTTTAAGGGCAGGCAAAGTTTACACTGCAGAAGTCAGAGGCAGCTAAGATAGAGACCTGAACCGACCACAGACTGCAGAACCCCCAGGTCTTTGTCTTTCTTCTCTTCCCTCTCCAGACCAGGAAAGGCTTGGCTGGTGTTTGTGTGGTGAATGGTGTGAGGGGTGGTTTGGGACTCCAGGCCTGACGGGGCCGGAGCTGGGCCTTGTTTAGAAAGCCTGTCACCAGAGCTTCTCTGGGCTGAATGTATGTCGGTGCTATAAATGCCAGAGCCGACCTGGACTTCCTGTCCTTTTCACAATCTTGGGGCTGACGAAGAAAGGGGGTTGTTGCTGCTGTTTGAGTTTTTGGTCTGTGTAACATCCCAGCCAGTCTTTACAAAGCCTCTGGATCCATGGGGAGAGAAGTGACATGGTGAAGGGAAGTGGGGGTATTTGAACACAGTTGAATTTTTTCTATAAAGAAAAAAAGATAAATGAGCTTTTCAGATTTCAGATTCTGTATTTATTGTCTTCAGATTTTGTCAAGAATTATTATTTTTTTAAAGAAGAAAGGAACATCTTCTCTCCTTGCCAAGGAGAATTAGCAAAATCAGGGAGAGGGTGGAGAAGGTTATCTGGACAACCTCATTTTACCCCAGAGCGTTAGAAGCCAGAGAGAGCAGGTTCTGAGACCTTCCCTGCCCCCAAGCTTGAGCCCAGCCTAGATTGTGAAACTCGTGGTTCTCCTGGGGGTGCCTCTGGGCAAAATGCACATCTGAATGGGCCGCTGCTTCCTAGCTGCGGTGAGTTTTGGGGGCTGGGACTCAGAGAGCCCCTCATGGCTCTCATCAAATTCACACCAAGGCAATTGCAAACATTCCCTTCACCAGTGGTTCCCTTCTTCCTAGGAAAGCTCCACAATCCAGCCAGTTAAACCTGAGCATTAAGCTAAAAAAAAAAAAAAAAGTTTCTGTTTTCCCAAGGAATATTTCCATGAACACAGTTTGTGAATACTCGGGCATTGATGGGAGCCCTTTCTGCCACCACCCCTTGCCCTGTCCCGCGCAGCTTCTCCCTGTCCCCCCCCCCCCCCACCTGTCCCATGAACAAGAATTCGAGAACCAGTATAAGAAGATCCTTTTGGTGACGGTTGCTTGTTATCCAGCTGATTCGCTGGGGACCTGGCTGCTGTTCTTGAGGTTCTTGGTCCCAGAAACCGCCGAGCTGGGCACTCTGCGCATGGCTTCGCCCTCCGTTTGGGTCTTCTCATGAGTCCCTTGAGCCCTACTCAGAGCCTCCTGGAAGGAGGAGGTGCCCCGAGGGCTGGGGAGGACCAGCGGAGCTGCGAGGCATAAATCCCTCTGCAGCATCTCCCCAATAACGCGTTCTTTCCGGGTGGCGCATTCGCTCTGGGGTTGGGAAGGGGCTCTGGTGGCTGAGCCTGGAGTTGGGGGTACAGTGCCTGGCCGCCTCGCCCACGGGAGAAGTCGAGTTGGGGTCCGCTGAGCAGGGAATCCCCGGGCCCCAGCGTGTCGAGGCGCCGAGAGGGGAGCCCAGCGCCCGCGCGGACTGTGTCCCCCTCGCGCACCTCCCCCCTTCCCGCCTCCCCTCCTCGCCGCCGCCGCGGTTGCTATGCGTTGCTGTGAAACGCCTGTCAATAAACCCTGTTTGGAGTGGAGCGAGAGCCCAAGGGCTGTTTGTTTAGTGGTTAGAGGTTCAAAAGTCGGCATTGTCCCGCGGCTAGCGATTACAGCTCTTCCCCTGCCCGGCCCGGTCTCGGGCTCTGACGCCGGCGCTAGTCCGCCCGCGCCGGGCGCTTCCGGGCGAGGAGGGCGCTCAGCTGCTCCGAACGCCAGGGCCCGCGCGGGCCGCCAGCCGCCCCGCAGTCTCCCGGGCCCGGAAAAGGCACGAAGTGAGCGGCCGCGCTGGCCAAGCGGGCCGCCCGCTCCGACGCCAGGACAGCTCCTCGGGAGCAAGCCCCGAGCACGGGACGCGGCGCGAGCGGGCAGAGCAGCTTGGGGAGGCTTGGCAAGGTCGGTGCTGGGACGCATGGGCTTATATTTGACAGGATGACTTCCGGATGCGGGCGCCCCTGGAGCGTGGCCCGCAGGGGGTCCCCGGAATCCCGCGGTCGCCTGGCACCTGCTCCTGGATCGGGCCGCTAGGGGGCGCGCGCGCTCTGGGAAGAGCGCCTCGGATCCGACCCGGGGACCCAGTTCTGACCCAGCAGGAGGCGCCAGCTCCAGCACCTCTCCCACCCCAGCCACTTCCAAACTGGGGCCGGGCGAGATTTCCCCACTAGGGCAACGTGCCTGCTGAAAACGAAGTTCAGCGAAGGCAGGCTCAGAGGATTCTTGGATCTGTTCGGTGCTTAAGAAGAAACAAATTTGGCGGAGGGGAAACTTCCACCATTCTAAAAGGGTCTTTTTGCACAGGACGTTTCCTTAAAAAATTACAGTAGCCCTAGCCGGTTTGGCACAGCGGATAGAGCGTCGGCCCATCCGGGTTTGATTGTCCATCCCAGGCGCATGCGGGAGGCAACCAAGGATAACCAACGTGTCTCTTTCACGTTGGAGTTTCTCTCTCTGTCTTTCCCCCTCCTTTCCCCTCTCTCTAAAAATCAATAGAGAAAATATTCTCGGTTGAGGAATAACAAAAAAGAAAAGAGAAAAAAGTTACAGTACTTTGGGTACGATACTAATATATGGAAAGACTGAGAACTTAGGATAAACAAGGAGAAGAGGAAGTACGAGCATTATGGAACTTATGTTTTTAAAAAAAGGTATATGTGGAGAGAAGACAGCCTGAGTCTTTTTTTTTTCTTCTGTGAACAATTCATGAGTTTACCATATTCATCCAATAAAGTTAAGATGTACTGCTGATGAAAGCAGAAAACATTTCAATGAGTTTCACTTCTTTCTGATAATATATACATAGTAAGATGCCTACAATAGTCAAGAAACCAGCTTACATAGAAATCTGAATATATCAACAACAACATTCTTGCTGTTATTTACAACACTCAGGAAGAAATAAGAGCAGGATGACATGAAGGAAAGCTCAGTTGCAGAATCTTAAGAAGAGATTACATGATTTTTAGGGGCCCTATTTTCACCTGGTTTTAGAGACAAGCTGCTGTTTACTAGTTTAATGACCTTGGGGAGACCACAAGCTCTGAGCCACCACTTCCGCATTTGTCATATGAGATAATGTAATATGAGATAATGTAAGCATACTTTTAGGATTAGATCCCGATAATTGCAGGAGCTGCTGCTTCTTTTTTTTCCCCATCACAAATCATTTTCTCTGCAAAGTGCTCATTTTCTTTCTCTTACAAAGAAACTGTGAACATGGATAATGTCTCAAATCATGATAGTATAACCCCTTTCCAGAACTGTTTTTAATGCATTCAATTTTCTTACTTCACAGTAGCCTCAAGTCTGTTGTCTCTTATCTCCACAGCCTCAAAATCTCAAGTGGCAAAGCACTAATATTCCGGATGTGAAGATGACTGACTGATCTGCACAGCTTACTTGTCCTTTCATTTACCAGGAGATGTGTCCCCTTATAGTTGTACTTAGGAGACAGATTGGTTGAAGATGTAGTGGGAACCTCTTTAAGTTTATCTATTTTGAACAAGTTCCATCCCAGCATCTCAAAATCAATTCTGTACTCTTTAATTTAGTTTGTTATTTTAAGGTAAATTATTTTCTTTTTTAAAAAATATATTTTTATTGATTTTAGAGAGGAAAGGAGAGGGACAGAGAGAGATAGAAACATCAATGATGAGAGAGAATAATTGATCAGCTGCCTCCTGCACGCTCCCTACTTGGGATCTAGCCTGCAACACAGGCATGTGCCCTTGGCAGGAATCTAACCTGGGACCCTTCAGTCCGCAGGCCCACATTCTATCCACTGAGCCAAACTGGCTAGGGCTGTAATTATTTTCTTAAATTACATTTAGACCATACAAACTTCTAACCACCATAACTCTTACATTTAGCCATATTTTCCTTTCTTCTCTACTCTTGTTCTTCAAGATGATGGTTATGATTTAGGGAAACGAGCAGGTTTTATTGGTAACTGGGATGAGCTGAGTGAGAGTGGGCCAAAACAATCACTATATTTACCTAGCTACAAATCAGAGAGAATATATACTTACATCACGACTTCTTTGAAGGTTATGAAATTAGATCTAAGGAAAAAGCCTCTCAAATTCCAAACAAGGAAAGTAGAATCTGTCAGTCACGGAGATTATACCAACATTTACCTTGAAGAATCAGTTTAGAAAAGGTGGGGGCAATTGCATAAGTGACCTTTGGTTCCAATGTTTCTAGTACCCAAACTTTACATCAGTTTTAACAATAGCCTTTCCAAATTGGAATTTGTCGTTAATCTCAATGAATGTAGATAATATCAACTAACTTGCCAGATCCCCCAAATTAAATGACCAATTTGCTTTTCTTTCTGCAGGATCCTGGCGATTCTGTGCTAGAGATCTAATCCATACACCAGAACACAACCAGTTTTGATCCATGAAAAAGAGTTCCCTGAGATCAAATG